GCCAGTGCAGTGAGGCTGGACAGAATATACTAATTTCTTTAGGCTCATGCTGACAACTGAAAAAGTGACTTCAAGTCTTGTGTTAGTGTATTCCACCAGAAGGAATGAATCCAGCTAGTTACAGTACCCTGCACTGGCTTTTTGGCAGTCATACTTCTTTAAATCGAAGCTTTCTGAGTCACCAGTTTTCAGTGTTTTTAAAAGAAAAAAAAAAAAAAATTAAAAAAATTCTGGATTTTCATCCCTTCGGGTTCTAACAGTTACTACCACTATTGCTATTCAAAGCAATAATAATGCTGAGTATAAAACTTGTAACATTTTAAGAACTTTTTCACACAAAGAGGCATCTATATACAACCTTTACTGCCTTAGGCCAGTTATTTTTGTCTGTCATTGTCCGTACAGTTTATCAGTCCATTGCAACAAGAAGTGATCAGTAAGGCTTAGAGCTTTGTTCAGCTGCTCGGACTCAGTGTTTTGTGTGTTTTTCTGGTGCTATGTTTTTTTTAGTTGAAGTTCTTTGTCAACAGAGTGGATGCTGTGACTAATTTGGCTAATTCTGGAAGAAAGGATTACGCCTGGATTCTGCATTCGTGTTTTGAGTCTCAGGAAAAAAGTTACAATGAATGAGTAGTCTGGGTTATGCATACAGTTGGGTGGGATGATACCTTCTGGCCTTCAAATCAATGGGATCTGTTTATTGCCATATGATTCAGGCTTAACTACTGAGCCAGCCTGTAACATCTTGTAGATGATTTTGTATGCAGAGCACCTCATACATTGCTTATGAATGTCTGTCTTAGATAAATGGGAAAGTTCCTAGTAAGGCTTTCACACAGAGGCATAGAGATGTTCCTGGGACACTGCAGTATTGCCAAGTTTTTTGAATTCAGACAATTCTTTTGATAGCTGCAATTTTCTTCAAAGTCTCATATTGTTTTAAAGAAGATTCAAATGTATTATTTTGAAAAAAGAAAGGAAATCCTCATTGCAGAGTAACTCTTGAAAAAGTGACTGCCATTGCTAAGCACGCATGCACAGACACACACAAGCCTCAACCTAACAACTAACAACCCAGAAAACAAAGAGAAGAGAATTAGTTTTAAAACCTTAAGTTATTGAAGGTTCTTTTGTGCTCAGGGAAAGAAATGCCATAACTCACAAGTCTTATAGTTGCTCAGTCCAGATGCAAATACAGCCATGACCTGACTCCATCCGTGCTGGGACAAGCTGTGGTTGTGCTCCAGCCCTCCCTGTGCCTTGCCTTTCAGAGGAGCTAGCAAGTACTTCTCTAGCAAGCAGGGGACCAGGACTTAGAAGTGTGCTGTGGTCCAAGCACAGCTTCTAGCTCCCGTATTAGATATTCTAAAAAAATCACCCAAATTAAAAAAAAAAATTCTTGCTGTTCACAACTGACATATTGATTAACTAAACAAACACAAACCAAGAGATTCTGAGCAACAAGTAGTGCCCTTAAGTGCCTGTAGCCCAGGCGATGTGCTGGGTCGGTGCCTGAATGTGACACAATCCTGCTGCCTGATTTGGATGGTGACACGACCCCACTGTCTATTTTGGATGACCTGATTTAATTGTGCTAGTTGAGAGAAATGCAGAAAAGGAAGCACGCCTGAGAAAGAGTGACAGACCCATTCAGCTGTTACAATGCCCTCTCTCCTGGCAATCACAGCTGTTATTAATTGTAGAGATAAGAACATACTTTTCCCCTAACCTTACATTGTCGTTCAACTGAATTTGCTGCCTTGAGGGAAGTGTGTTTCTGTACAGAATTTGGTAAACAATATAGGGATGGTCTCAAGAAGATGAGGCTTTCTACCAGGGTAACTACAAGGCCACGCTGCCCAGGAAAGGTGGGAAAGCAACTAGGAAGTGCTCCCTCCTGCACAAGCACCGCTCCTGGACTGAAGTGAGAGGCAGCAGCTGCCAAGAGAACTTTATTCCCTCGCTGAGCGCAGGGCAGGCAATGCCCTGGTACATGAGGAGGGCTGGCATGAGGAGAGGAAACAAGCTGGAATTTTTCAGAGAAGCAGCAAGAGGAAATCATGACACTGCAAGTGGGAATCCATTGTTGGCACAGGCTGTGAGCTGCCCAGCCAGCACAGCTCTTCTCCCAGGGCCGACGACGGCTGTGTGTATCATCCCAAAAAGCGCGGCTCTGCGCGATGTGCCGGGTGAGACAGCCGCTCAGATGCCAGTGCGTCACTCCTCCTCTTATCTGAGAACATTAGCCTATTTCCATTACTATATTTATCCTTTATTGTGTGCAAATGCAGTAGGATTTTAGTAACAGCGGAGTCACTTTAAATGCTGTTGGAAAGGCCAGAGAACACGATGTCTTATTTTCACCAGTCTAACGCTATTTGTTTTACAAGTGAACCATATTGCTTATACAGAACCAGAGCAAGTTTTTTATAAAGGCATTTTTTAAAGGATTGAATAGTTGCAATTGTTGGAGAAAGGTGCTTAGATACTGGATTAGGAATTTGCAGGATCAAAGTGGCAGTTAAGATGCCAGGGAACTCATCCAAATCACAACATAGCTGATATTCTTTAGGGAATACTGAGCTGTTTTGTATACGGCACTCTTGGCTCCAAGTAACTTAAAACCTGAAGAACTGAAATGATTACAAATATCAGGCTACATCTTTCAAGGTGTTGAGTGCCCACAACTCACGTTGGGCTGAATACTCTTTTACACTGTGGCCCTTTATGCTGGGATGCCAATGTCAAAGGCAGACAGTGGCAGTAAATGCCATTGGAGGCCCCTTTACAGTATTGGACCGTAGCAAAGTTGCTCAGGTGCAATTGGGCATTCGGCCCATTTTCCTGGCCATACTCAGCACCTCTCAGGATCAGGCTGGCAGGGGAGTGGCTCTGGCAGGAAAGCTCAGTTATTTGTGATCTCAATTACACAGAAAATGTAGGGGATGGATTTGTGGGTTGTTTTTTGTTGTTTTCTTTTTTTTTTTTTTTGGCCTGTGAGAAGGCATGGAGATTTCTGCTGGGCTAGTCTCTTTGAGACCTAGGCTGCAAATACAGGGCATGAAATTCTCTCCATCCTCATTTTAGTGCCACTGCTCAGGCTGAGTTCAATGAGGTGAGTGACTCACCTACATCTATGCTGCACTGGAAGGTGCATCTAGCTGACTCTTAGATTCCTAGGTGAGGAACAGCAGGGGCTTCTTTCTCCAGACTCAGCAACTGATAAGGGAACTGAATTTTCCCTTCAAGTTGCAGAGCTGGAAATGGAAAAGATGCCAGAGAACCAAAATACATTTTTTTCATATTGTTTACTTGGAATACTTAAATTTCTATTTTAAAACATTATTTTTAATTTCTTATCTGTGGTTAAAAGTTTAAAGAGGGCAGAACGTGTGAAAATTAAAAGCCATGAGTAAACTTTTTTCCAATATTTTCTTTGAGAAAACTGATTTTTGTTTTAATGGTACCAAAAAATTGTCATTCTAGTTCTGATTCTGCCACCAAAGCAAGATAATATAGTTTGGACTTTTTTTTCCATTATATTTAACAATAATAATATTGCTTTCACCACAATGGGGTAGGTGGGGCTTCTGAGGAGACTATAATAGCTTTTGTCTTTAATTAGACCAATTACATGTTTGGGAAATAGGCAAAGATAGAAAAACTATTATTTTTTAATTTTTAAAAAGACATGTAATCATGGTCTCAGTTTTAAAACTTCTAGAAATCTTTTCTCAAATAAATCAGTGGAAGTTCTTATTGCTTTTGTGTTACTTAAGATGTTGGGGTTTGAGAATTTTTGAGGAGTTTTTTTACCTGAATAATGATGAACTTGATGTTCTAGAAGTTGACAACTGATTTTGGAGAGAATTATAAAGAATTTAATGCATCTGTAGGAGTAAAGAAATGATTGAAATATAGTTATTGTATGCGCAATAACAAGTTTGGTTAGTAGTGGAAGGATTAGAAAACAGGTTTTCTTTGATTGTAGTATATTGGGTTGTCATAAAACCCATGGGACAAAAGTGAGTTTGAGTCTAATTTCCATGGACAAGAGATGAGGAAGGATATTGCTTCATTTGTGGACTGCTGTTTTCTATCCTTTATCTCTCCTGTCCCTCATTTCTTTTCCTCTTCACCCACATTTTCTGCTTCAAGACAGATTTCAGTCCAGTGTGACAGAGTTGCAGAGATCTCAAAGCCTCATAAGTATAGATGAGGAAACCTTTGAACTGAATTACTCCTAATAGTTTTCATTGCAATGGGTAATTTCTAATGGTCAAAGGTAGCAGCCTTCATGTTTCCATTAAAGTATTCTGCAGAACAGAATGGAGGGCAGTAGAAGGTTAGATTTATAACTATTTGTGGTGGTAAGTGAAGTCTTGGGTAAAGAGACAATACCCAATGAAATGCAAATCAGAAAACCAGCTGTCACTTGCTCTGCTGCTCATGGACTTGCTTATTGGAAGATGCAAACAGATGGTACAGGTGGAGAGCTGCACAGAGACCCTACCTCTCCCTCTCCTGGTAGCACCAACAATCACTTTAGCAAATAAAAAACTCCATGTATCTTACTTACAGACCGTGTTTTCTCTCTTATCCTAGCATCTGATTTGGTGGTACAGAGAGCATCACTTTTATTATCACTTGTGTGAAACACAACTGCCTAGGAGCCCGCAAGTCCAAAGTGTCAGTTTAAGTTGAGGTGTAAGGAATGCCTCGGCCAGCTGGAATGCAAGAGTCTAGCCCCCAAAACCAAGTAAGAGTGTAATAGCCCTTCTGACTTCAGCAAATGTGTCCTGGGATTGTTAGCAACTGTGACTGGCAAGGCCCTGAGCCCATTTGTTGTCTGTGAAGTGACGTCTGTGACACAGTGCTGCTGCTGGAGTGCTGGTAGGGCTCTGACTCACTGCCACGCCACCTCTTGTCCTCCAGACCTGAGCATTACCAGCATGTAAAGGTTGACCCATTCACGGAGCCATGTGGTGTGGCAGCGGGCCATGCGGGTAACCTTGACTTCAGTGCCCTTTCCAGAGACTGATTGTGGTTTTCTTATTATCTAACGAGCTTGTCATTTCCTGTACTAGTTGTAACAGAGCTGAATATTTTCTAGGTTACCTAACCAAACTTCTGCAAAATCATACTGCCTATGCCTGCGATGGGGAACATTTGAGTCTGCACTGTCCACGGCATTCAACAATAAGTGTCCAGTCAGCATTTTACGGGCAAGACTACCACATGTGTGGTACTGGGGAGCAGGAAACCAGAATGAGAAAACCCATAAACTGCGTGGCACCCACCTCTTTGCAGGTATCACATGTTGTAAAGGTTCTTAATGCACACAACGTTTTTGAAGGTTTCTGGGCAGTGAGCTGTGCTGTGTGAAAATAGCAAGTGTTCACAGTGTTGAATGAAATGACATCATGGCTATGTCAGTTTACCATGAAAAGTATTACCCCTGAAGAAATTCATCTGGCCAGCAGGGTATTACCATAGGATTGTAAAATCTTTGTTGATTGCCTTCTGTTTTGATAAGCCTTGCTTTGGAAACCCCATTCTCAAAGTTCATTAAAATAATCCATTCCCTTCTAATGAAGGGCAGGTCAGGACTCAGCAAACCACTCTTAATCCATCACACAGGCTCTCCTTGTCATCAGGAGAGGATGTATACATTTGACAGAGCTGTGTTACAAACCCCCAGAGTCAGGTGGCATTCTCATTGGTGTTTGGCTAGTTGCATGCCTATCTTCACTCAGTGAAAAGGCAGCATGACAGCTAAACAACAGCTCCTAAACACTTCTGCAGATATCTGCATTTCCATTAATACATTATTTTTATCAGTAATATCCTGTGGTTTGTTTGCTGGACACACTTAAGTATAGCTTAAAATTATTTATACTTCATAAATTATTACTTTCTGCTGTGGAGAGTTTTGTAACAAGGCTTAGAAGGTTTGACCTATACTGTGTTTCATCACAGTGAAAATGCCCACTGTTAGGCCAAACTCAGTAAATCACTGCAAAAATTACTAGTTAGTGGAATCTCAACATGTTCTGTTGGTGAAACTGATGTAAATGCTCTAGAGAAGCTTTAATGAAGCCTGCAACATTTGTGCTTGCAGCTGACACGTTGCTTCTTTACAACAGGGAACGTCATTTGCCACCACCAGTGAGTTGAAGAGTTGTACCGAGTGGTTTGGCAGCAATATCCTCTCTCCAGAAACAGTATTAGCGCAGTTTTGTGAGTACGACTTGCTGTACTGCAACTTCTAAAGACATTCCAGACATGACCTATGGGCCATGTGAAAGTACAGCTCTCCACCAGAAACAGCAGGCCAGATGCATCCTTGATGTCATTTTGCTGAGTACAGTGAAGTGACACCAATGATTATTTTGGGCTTGTGAGTGTCTTTGTGAGGTCTACATGGGCTTTATTTCCCCTTGAAGACAATAAACGCAGCATAGAATAACTTGTATAAGCTATCATCATCATTCAAGCACTGTTACTGATCAAAGGCATGAAGGCACTTTGACGAGGTCATGAGTGTGAGAGATAGGAATGCTCTGCATCTTGGGGAGTTCTGGTTGTGTCACGGAGAAGAGGCACATCCTGTAAACTCATGTCTTAGGCAAGAGCAGCAGTGATCTCATTCCTCCTCCTCTTCTTTTTGGAACTGCATCTGCAGTCTGCATAACCAGGTCTGATGCCACCCTGCAGTTGGGAGGAAGCAGAATAGACATTTTTTACAGTGACCTCCAATTAAAAGGATCACTGTAAAGTTAGATCTGTCTGGAGATGTTAACAGCCCGATTCTATCTCATTACGAGTATCACTGTTTACTTTTATGGTTGCATGTTTTCACACAGCAACATGATAAAAAATGCAACTGCTGTTTGCATTAAGTAGGAGAAAGTAGGAACAGATGCATAGGAGATGATTCAGCTCAGGTGCAAACAGAAGGTCACTCAGTAGGGTACAGCTATCTCCACTTGCTAAAGATGTAGCTCTATTTCACTGGCCTGTTCCAGGACCATTCCAATTAAGGAAGCATTATTTGTTTGACTTGCAACCCTGTAAAAGAATGGACTGATAAAATTAAGTCTGCTGTACTTTTCCTTCCCTTTTAAACTCTTCAGAGTGCACTTAACGCTCAAAAAGAGTTGGACATGAGTCCTCTTCGCCTACCAATGGGAACAGAAAGGCAACAGTGTTACAGAATCTCTGCAGTGCTGCCAATATGTATAATTTCTGCTTGGGAGGGATGGCTTCCAGGGATGACAGGAGGGATTCAGCTACTGCCAACTCAGCCTGGAAACGAGGGTGCAGCTTGTGCTATCACAGTGGTAAATTTGTGACTTGGCCTCTTGATATGACTGAGACCCCCTCTGATGAGAAACATGGCAAAAATTCCCGTGGATTTTACAGAAGTACCTAAAGCCATCAGAGAATGGTATCTAACTGTTATTCCTCTTAAGAGTGGGGTATCCAAAGACAACGGCCTGCTTTATCACAGCCTGCTGTGATTTTAAACATCAAGAACCTGGGCACAACAACACCACAAAATAGTATATAGAAACTGGGCTTTGAAAGTGGGTAGGAATATGTACATTGCTGCATTTAAACTGTTTTTTTTTAGGTGCTTTGGCTTGTGGCTGTGTTAAAAACTGGACTCAGACCCATCTTGGGCAGTGTCTTCTATAGCTACAGCTCTGAAACCACTGATGAGGTGGGAACAGCAATGTGAGCACTAGGAGCACCAAGTCCTTTTCCTGAACTTGGAGAGGGTCCATGTAACCCTTTGCATATAACATTTCTGACTTCTTTTGTTATCCTCTTGTTTCCACTCCCAGTGAAACAGCACAATAAGAACCATGATATATTGCTGGACCAAAAAAATCTAGGGTAGATTTGATGTTACAAGAACATAAAACAAACAAACAAGCAAACAAACAAAAGACAGGCAGGCTGGAATTAATTCAAGTGACAAGTCAAGTAAATATCTGATAATGTGTGTAACTGCAAGAAAGAAGTAAGTGCCCCTTAAGCAGGAGGTCCTATATATGGCTTAAAGCTCGGGTTGTGTTTAAGTGTCACTAAGCACACATAGTCCTTAGTCAGAATTCTTTCAAGTGAAGGTATTACAGAGCATGAGCTGGTAAATTTCAGTGGATTGAGATGAAATGGTTAAAAAGACATCCTTCTGTGTTACCTGGATGCTGCAGTCCCATAATGCTATCAGGAGTGTGTGAGCGCCTCAAGCACATCAGAGAAGAGGCAGGGGGCTGGTTGTGTTCCCACTTGCTCTTGGCTCTGCAGAGTCCCAAGTGCCACTGGGGCTGTGGTGGCACATGGGGAGATCTGGCTGACAGGCTGGGGGCAGAGGGAATAGTGACAAACAAGAGCAAATTGGTAACATCCTAGGTTGCCGTGGGCATCGTGATGGTGAAAGTGTTCCCATAAGCTTGGCCATGACTCAAAGTCCAGTAGAGATGTGGCTTAAATCCAATGATACAGATGTTTCTTATATTTTATAGCAAACAAGTTGCGTAGGAATGATTTATCTCCTGTATATAACAAAGTATAACCAAGTGTTCTCATTGCTGTATAGTTTCATACCTTGTTTTCAAGTCTCTCCTTTTTTGCCCATTGTTCTAGAAAGTGCTGGATGAATGCCAAAACCTGAGATCCTGCCAACTCCTTGTCAATAGTCGGGTTTTTGGACCTGATCTGTGTCCAGAGACCACTAAATTCCTCCTTGTCTCCTATAAATGCAAACCTAGTAAGTAATCTACATCAGGCAAATGCGTTTTTGTGTCTATTTTGTTGTTTGTTTTGGTTAAAATGCTGCTGCACAAGGCTTTGCATAAATCCATGTGAAGTTTTGAGACTCTTTTTTTGCTTTACCTTTGCTCTCTATTATGTTTACACCTTCAGTGTGCTTGCTGCCAATTTAATGACCAGTGCAGTAAGGCAGAGTCAGATGTCAGACATCAGAATAGAAAGGAAAAATGTTTTGGAAATTATTTTTAAAGAGATGGCACTGATAATGTCCTATTAGAAAGACAGAGCTGAACAGCAGAAACAGATGCTTGGGCTAAGAATCCAAATGATGAAGTTGATAGCATAATAAGAAATCTGCAGAAACACTTAAGGAGGTAGGGCCAAATCTTTCCAAGATCCTCTGTTACTACCTCCCATTTATAGAATAATGGCTGGAGGACACACATGTGGCTGCCTATTACAGAATTTCACTGCAGAATCACCCATATTCTATGCAGGTAATAGACATTGATATGTAAAGGGACAAATCCTGCCTCAAAGAGAATGGACTTTGTAAACATGAGAAAAGTGTAAGGAAGATTAAGACAATCATCCTGAGGTTTCGTTTACTGGTCTTTTTAATTGTTTGTTTTTGTTTTTTTTTTTTTTCTTGTAGCTATTGTATATGAGAACAAGCCCCAGTAGCCCCAGGGGCTCAGCTTTTTTTGGCAGCTAATCCCCGGTGTGGCTGAAATTGGTCCCAAAGAAAATAGTTGAGTGATGATTTATGGGTAGGTTCACCAGCCAACTCAGAAATACCATCCCGCAACTAAAGGAGAAAGCATAAAGGAAATTTTCTTTAGTCAGAGCATTAAGCTAGACATCATGGGTGAAACGGGAACAGGGATGGCAAGCAAACTCAAGGGCCAATTTATGGTATTGAAGTCAGAGCAGAGATTGGGGAATGGAGTAGGCAGGTGTTAACTTTGGCAAAGCACTGGCGCAGGCACTCACAGGGATACTTACTGGGACAAACAGCAGGGGAAAAAGGTCTGAAATGTAACATTTTTATAATCTGTTTTACTGTTTTATAGTTTGAAGATTTTTTTTACATATTAAAATTACTACATTATTAATAGTAAATGGATTTGAATATCATAGCTGTGCCTGTGCCATTAAAAACCTCTTTTTACTAATCAAAAGTGAATTGAGATGTTGTTCATTACCTCTGTAAGCTGCTTAATAGTTTTCCCCACTGAAACTGAGCTATTTTATACAATATTCTCTGTGGTCTAAATTTTACCAAAGCTGGTCAGAAGTGTATTTAACAGCAAGAGCTGCCTTCACACTTGAAATATAGTCTTTCAGTGCAAGTTACATGATTGGAAATGTATATTTGTAGGTAAGATACTGATATTGTTAGGCTTGGCTGTGGAAACCATCCTTATGCAAGAAATACCTTGTGTATTACTTTAAGTGTATTTTACAGTCTCCTTACCTTCAAGTATGCACATAAGCAATTGCCTGAACCCCTTAGTTTTTCATCTATTTAGAAATATCATTGCTGTGTCTCTGCAGAGAACCCTGTTTTATTCTTACCCTTGTATTACACCACTTGCAGATCTTGTTCTGTTGCCTGTATTTCCATAGCCTCTCCCACAACCTTGGAGCACAGCTGTACAGAGACAGAGCCCAGCTTTAGGCAGTCAGGCCCTGGGCTGGAGCCTCCATTCTGCTGGCATGATCCTCGTGGTGTTTGGTATGACAGGTGCTGCTGTGGAAGTAGCAATCTGCAGCACATCAAGTATTTTTTAAAATCACTCTTTTTAGACTCACACTCCTGACTGCTAATGGAAGAAACAGAAGAAACTGGGCTATTACGAAGAACATTAACCCATTTTTATTTATTTTAAAATCTATTCTATTCTAAATGAAACAATAATGTTTTCTTTATTGAACAGATAGAAGGTTTTCTCTCTCCAGTTCCCCTAGCACCAACACCCACACTCCACTCACAGGGATACCACACAGTAACAATAAGGTTTCCCTTTTCTTCTACTCAGCTCAGGAATCTCCTTTTCCTGTTTTCACATTTTTGAAAGACAAAACCAAAACAAACAGAAAAAAAATGGAGAATAAACTCTTCTCCCCAGCCTTATCTGCATTAAAAAGGTTTGCCACCATACCTAGAGCAGGAAGATTTGAGCTGTAAAATGCTGCAAGCAAAGAAGCTGCTTAAACCATCAAATGACCTTCTTGGCCAGATGGCAGATTTTAACCAGTTCTCTAAGAGGGATAAACCATGCTGTCTGGAAGATGATCTCACTGGCTTCTCCACCTCTGTGCTGAGAGCACTGCCAGGGTGCCTGTGCCAACTGAGAAAAGGAGGGCATGTATTTTTCTCAGGCTTCTGATTCACATGGCTTTGCCAGCAAAAGTTTCAAATGAGCCCTTGCTGGATAGTCACGCCCAGGGAAACCCACTGACCTTGGTGGGGCCACACAAACATAGCTGAGAGTGCTGTCTGGCTCAGGATACGTAGCCCATCCCCACGCTTTTGTGTCCCCCCATTCTTGGGTACTCGCTCGGTGCTGTGTGTGGTGGCACTGGGTGATGCCAGCCACCCCCATGATTGATGAGTGGTCAGAGGCTCTCAGCACTCAGGCAGGCATCTGAAGTAGGCGTGGCATGCAACATTGTCCCAGGGAGAGACAAAAGGAAGGGATGAGGCTTCTCCTACAGAGCAGTGCTGGAAAGCAAGCCAAGAAATCAGGCGGGAAGGGGGGAGGCTGTTCCACTGGGAGAGGAGATTGGCAAAAGTTAACTTTTTAGTTCCTTTCAAAGAGGAGCTGAAGGCTTTAAATAGTCATATGGGAGCAATTAAGTTGGAGGAAACACTCTGCTTTGCTGTTGGCTTTGTCTCTGGCTGTAGTAGTGCCACATGCCACTTGCAACAGAAGTTGCAGAAAAGCTGCTTTCTGTCATGCTGGTGTTTGCTATTAACAGTCAAGCCAAGTAAATTGCCTCATGCTACCTTATTGTTATTTGCTTCTATTTCAGCTGAATACAAAACCAAATCAGCATGTGAAAACCAGGAACTGAAACTCCACTGTCAGGAGTCCAAGTTCCTTATCATCTACTCTGCCACTTACGGCAGATGGGCACGTGAGGAGAACATCTGCTCAACAGAAGTGGAGCGAGTCCCCCCTTTCGGTATGTTCTTACTGTGGTGATAGACCTTCTCCAAGCAGGTGCACAGAGAAGGTGGGGAACAGATGGGGAGAAAACTTCAGGTGCAAGAACAATGGCATTTTGAAAGTACCAGTGATTGAAAGAAAAGAGATTATTTCTGATGCTCTAACAAATTGCCCAATATGAGTGAGAAATGTAGAGTAAGAAATGCAGCAAAGTCATAAACTTTAATCTAGTTCAAAACTCTGATTTTGTCGGCTGTCTTGATGTATACTAAATGTCATCTGTTTGCCTCTCTTCTTTCTCCAACTTCTGCCAATGATTAGGTAACCTAGTGTCACAACACCTTGTCTTACTGCTACCTTCTTCTCTGGTCTCTGTTTCTGCCAGCTCTTCCTTGTATTAAATGCAGACTGTAAGGCAGGGACATAGGTTAAGGTACTTTGCTTTAAGTGCTGTTGTATGACTAGACTCCAAGACTGTGGTGGTATACTAGAAAATTAAATGTGCTGGTGATCTCTCTGACACCAAGTCCAGCAGGAGGGAATGTCCTGTGTATGTAGTACTTAACTCTTGCCCTCCAAAGCAGGATGCCTGCATGCAGACTGATTCTTGGGGCAGCTCCTTGGCCTCTGCTAGCTCCTCAGCTGGGATGGGGAGCCACTGAGAGGGTGCTACTGGCGTGGGCCAGATGAGTGCAAGGACCATACCTGTCAGGGTGCAGCACTGGCACTGTTTTGCAGTGCCAGAAGTATGTCCTCTCACTTCTCATCTACTAGTGCAGGTGCATCCTGATTTATATGAATATATTATATTCATGTCACTATATTAGTAATTAATACACAATGCCTTCATGTTCGTATAATATTAATATTACTTTGGTCAGACTGTGAACACTTTCAAGCACAGACTTTTAAACAGGTAAAAGAAGCATCGTAAGTACTTGTGTGGTCTACACTGATAACCAGTCATTGACTTCACTGTATAGTCTCAGCTGTTGTACTAATTATGATTTATGACTCATGACTCACTTTTATTGCAAAATATTTAAATTTACAGTAGCATATGAGTGTGAGGGTGCTTGATGCTTGCATTAATTATATGATCAGTGGTTGACATTGAAGGAAGGTATGAAGATAAATTTTTATGCTATGGAGAATGCCAGCACAAGATACATGTGCTGTTCACGTTCCTTAATGCCACACAGGAAAGGACTTCCACGACTGATGCCAACCCTGTGCAAAGACTGAACTTGACTCCTGAGAAACATGTTACTAGTAAAATCTAGAGAAAGTGTCTCTGAACATTAAGAAGAGATCAATAATTTGTCTCAAAAGCCATTTGTCTGCAAGCCAATGTTTCTATTTAGTTGCATAGATACTATTAAAAATTTATTGGCTGAAAATTGTAATCTGTTCTTAGACGAGAATCTATTCAAAACTACCAGGTCTGTGTTTCACACTGGCTAATTTGTGTGGTTCTTCACACAGACTTAGCTCTGCCTACTTGGAGGAAACATTTTTAGCAGGCTTCTGACAGACCCATACATCCTTCATGATGGAGACATTAGTGTTGGCACATCATTCACCTCTGAAAATCACTTCCTTGCCTCTAGTGTCAGCACTTACAGTTCACAGATCAGATAACTTCAAACCCTTCTTACTGGATGAAGTTTCCCAATAGAAAGAAATAAAGAATTTGCAACAGCAACAAACTCTCTGGTGTGGCCCCCTGCATATGAGCCCCTCTTGAGCAACACCCTGGCTGTGGCTGGTTTTGTGTTCTATAAAGCAACCTAAAACTGTGGTAATAGGAAAGAGCATAAAACCTGAGACAACATAAGGTGGATCTGTAGAAGGTAGATCCTTGCACAGATTTCTCATTACTTAATTAAAGTGCTTGGCCTCTTCCTGCGTGGCACCAGTAACCCTCTGCAGTGAGTATAAATTTCAAAAGCACCTGTGTGTCTTGGGAGCACACCCTCAGTTACCTCAAAAGAATTAGCACTAAGGAGCCAAATCCACTTGACTCCAGATCAATCAATCTTGAGCTTAAGTCTTGCTTTGTAGTTATTTATGAATATACAGATGTGAGTGGGTGCATTATTAGACTTTTTAAGTGTCTGTGTACCTTTCTGTCAGAGGTAGAAATGGTAATTTCTGTGTCAAGGTGATTTTAACAATTTGAGACAATTCAGAAAACGTGCTTCAGCTGCTCTTGGTTTCTGAATCAGAGCCTACATACATGTAGATGTTTGCACCAAAAGCTGAGTCTGCTCCACCTCCCATCCAATTCCTGTTTATACCCACATTTGTGCATCTCAGCCTAAAGGCAGTGCTTGGGCATTTCCATTTCTTTCACTGCATCACAGGGAAACTGTGAGGTCATTTTTTTTGGTACTGTGCAGAAGAGATCTGTAAGTCCTAATGACAAGTATAGGATGTCTCTTGACCTCAAGAGTTTGGCATCTATCCTTGATAAGGGCCTGCTAGCAGTACTAGGTATTGAATAAATTAAGAACTGTGCTAGATTTTTATGACCTTATGTTACATGTAATATATCTGAAAATAAATTAATGACAGACAGCAGATTTGGACTGAGGCAGAGGTATTCTGAGCTATCACTTTTCTGGGAACAGTCTATCAGATTAACTGACAGATGTTTGGAGCTTTGCTTCAAAAGGAACACAGGAAAACACAACATTTCTTTAGCTGAAAGGCCAAAAGCATGTAAGAAATAGAGTATATAAATCCATCTCTGGTATTGGTGATATCTGTGTGGCTTTGGAGCACTTGTAGGATCCTGAGCCTCAGCTCAACATTTAGCATGACTGCATCCTATTGGAACTAGTTTTCTGAGCCAGTTTGGGTGCTATTTTCAATATAGAGGAGGAGGAAGGGCAATGGCACCATGGTGTTGTCTCTGTTGGATAAAGCCTTTACAGTAGAGTTGTCCTCTGGTCTGGTTGAGTCTTGCTGACCCCAGGCAATGAAACAGCTTTAGCATGAAACAAAGCCCACAGAGGGTTATGGGAAACAGACATTCAAGTCCCTGTTCTGATAAAGAGCAGATTTGAATCTGCGTAAAGATTTGAACAACTGAGTACTAGAAATTGTTTCATGTGTGCCTTGTCTGATAAGACAGCACCACGACTGATACCTAGTTATATGTGTAACTGGCACAAAATGTCAATTTCAAAATGTCTCTTGCTTTTCTTAAAAAATGACCAGAAACAAAATACTGTACTTAGAGCAACTCATCTTCTTTGATGCAGTTTGGGAGAGGATTTGCCAAAGGATGTGAAGATTCCATGTAAGATCACTATAAAACATTTTTCTTGGTTTTTGTCACTTTCACCATTGAACTTGAAATATGGTATTTTTTCATGTCTCTGGTCCTGCTTCCTGACTTGCCACCAGAGCCATTCATTCTGATGAGTGGTTGCCATCAAAGAATAGAGCATAAAATCTTGTTTCCAGACTTTTTAGGATATTTTGCCTTCAGGAAAACAACTTCTGCAAAGTATGCTCTTAGCATAAGTAGCAGAGTTTATTGAAGCACAAGGAATTATATCCATTATAAAATGATTGCAGGGAAATAACAAAATCCAAACTGTGTCCTCCTTCTGCAGCTGTTCCAATGGCTGGCATTGTTAAGACTGTACAGAATTTACAGAAAGTAGCTTCCCTGTTTTACTAAAACATCACAAGAAAACTAAAACTTTTTTGGGTGCAGTTTTGTAGCAGATAGTTCTGCTTAGAGGAATCTATTGTGCTCAGCACCACAGCAGGAAACTGTGGCAGTTTGTTCCTGTGTGAGTTGTTGTCTTTTCTGAAATATTATCTCATTTATATTTGTACTAACATGTGCATGAGGAAAGATAAAATTTACTGGCCAAAATAAGTTAAAAAGTTGTGCCAAGGCAGATTACCATAAAGAGTACACGAAAGATTTGGATCAACAAACATTTCTCAAATCATAAATTACTCTTGTTAATACATGAAAGTACTTGAAAGAAGGCTTGGTAGTGGGTCCCCTCTAGCTGCAACTTGCAAGCCAGAACACTAAACCATCCTTCCCAGAAATTTCACGTGGTTGTGTGCTGGTCAGATGTGCCCTTCCTCGAGCAGTAATGACCAGCAGAGCCCTGAATTGCAGATCTTCAGATCTTCCTTGCTGCAAGGCAGGGTCCTTTCCAGCACAGACCTCTCTTTTCCCTGTTCTCACTTTTGGGAGACTGAGAGGGGAGGTGGAGGATTCAGACATTCATCACAGCTGGCACTGTGGCATGACATAGCCTGGGGTTGGGTTTTGTCCTAATCCCCTCTTCCTAGTGAAATGGCATTCAGTTAAGAAGAAGGCGTGTTAGCAAAGCAAGAGAGGGAGATTTCCAAAATCCTGTAGCTTCTTCCCAGCCCAACAAGGTATCACGATTTTGTTGTATAACAGTATTTTATGATACTGTGATTCCTCTTCTATTTTCTTTCTTTCTATTTTCCTCCTTTTTTTTTTTTTTCTTCTCCTTTCTGAATCAGTGTTGTGGTTAATTCAAAGGGCCTACATCTCTTATTCACTAATAGTGATTGAGAAGCTTTTGATTTCTTTCTCTTACTAGGAGATGTATACTCCTCCTAGGGTGAGCCCATCCCTTATGTAAGTCTCTTGAGAGCAGATGTAAATGAAGTAAAAGAACAAAAATGGCTATAGGCAGATCTGGAAATTCGTATACATTGAAGTTAGCAAAAAATTAGGAAATGCTGGATTTTGAAGCACAGACACTTCAGGAGCACTTAGTTGATTAGCATAAACACTGAACCCAGTCCTCTGCTGGGGGAAGAAGCAAGAGCTTGTAGCTCAGAGCTGCTGCAGAGAAGGCAACTAAGTCCTTTCTAGGCTGCAGGTACCACTGACTCAATGCCTGGGTATGCCCTTCCATTCCTGACCATCATCTGTCTAGCATATATTTTCTAGCTAACTGTGGGGCTGATTTCAAGCACCAACCCTGTTGATAGTCATGCAAG